GATCGATCCAGCCCTCTGGATCGATCCATACTATGAAAAATCACTCCCAGGGGATCGATCCAAGCCCCTGGATCGATCCAGACAGTGGTGTTTCAGCCACTGTTCATCTTCTTCTTCGTTCGGGTCCAATTTCGGAAATATCGTTTTTAGTTATCGAACTTCAACGAAACTATATAGAGATGTTCTCCAAGGTTCATAGATCATTTTGGCATCATTAATTCATAGTTTTAACATCAATTTCATGGTTTATGATTCTTGGCTCTTCAAGCACGTCAAACACAAAACTCAACCAAACGATCGTTTATGAACGTAGAAACGATCTATACGAACATTCTAGTCACTAGATATATCTACGGGCTTACCTCGAAGTGTAATGGAGGTTTTGAAGATTTTCCGGTGAAACTTCCGGCGATGATAGCTCTCTACTCTGGCGACCTCACACCAATACGACAACACCACTGCGTTCTCCTCACTCCCTGCAACAGAATAGATAGAAAGTTTGTAAGAAATGGTGAGGAATTGAAGGAATGGAGATGGTCCTTATATAGCCAAGTGAAGAGGAAGAAGACACGGTGATGACCTCCCTTCTCCTGTTTTGGCGTCTCAGTGGAGCGGACGGCTGATTTCTACGGGCTGTAAACGCAAGTCCCTGATTGGGACTAAATTGGTCCCAGTCGGGGAACACTTTTTGGTCCAACTTTCTCCAAATTGAAATCCGATTGCACCGTTGCGATCGTAGAATTAAACTCTATCCAATGATATACTTTTTACATTTATTCGTTATACTTTTTCCAACATCATATTTTTGGGTGGTTGACTTTGACAGAGTCAAAATTAATTTGTTTGACCTTTACTCAAAAAGGGGCTCATATTCAATTCATATTATTTATTTCCATGATTTATTTCAACAAATCATTTCAAAGTTCACATTATAAAACGATTTCTTCATTTATTCTTAATTTGGGCCTCTACATAGGTTTCCAATCAAGATCACACAAATAGTCAACTAATTGGATTTATCTCTATGAGATTTATCCTGATTGTGATATTGGATATCAAAACACATTTTATTTCGGCCCAAGGCCCAATAACAATTTATTTTAATCAAAACATATTTTGTTTAATTGGATATTTAATTCAATAAATTTTAGGGTATATTTTGGGGCGTTACATTTCTTCCCCCCTTAAAAGGAATTTCGTCCTCGAAATTCTTCTTAAGGCCAAACGTTCAACATTCCGTAGTGATCTTACTTAATCATGACCGTGTCATGCTCAATGGGTTAAATCATAATTACGTCATTATCCATACAGATAAGTATTCTCAAAGTGTCAATGTTATCAGACTTGTTCTTTCTTCAAGAGATTAATAATCTTAGATTTAAGCAAGACATTCAGTGATCCTTCAGTATCAACAACTAAAGTTCCTTCGTGGTGTATAGGGTTATATACTTGCCATACTTGCACAAAACTTCGTTCAGTCTCAATTCCTCGTTGTACCACATTAAATGTAATAACCCGTATCAAGATGGGAATGGGAAGATCTCAAAAGGATTAATAGTACTACTCATACCAACAAGGTGCATCTTCTTTTCGAGAGCTCATTACCTAGAAACTCCAAGGTTAAGCATGCTTGACTTGGAGCAATTCTTGGATGGGTGACCCCCTGGGAAGTTTTCCTTGGGCGCGCACGAGTGAGGACAAAGTGTGCGGGAAAGACGTGTGTTGGTTTGTGGGGCCAGTCTACAATCCTATGAGCGGACACTTACGGCTAGAATGGGGGCCGGGGTGTTACAAATGGTATCAAAGCAACCCTGCGACCGTGACGGGCCAAAAGAGCTTAGTTCACTTAGCGGGGAAGATCTATGGGTTCAAAAAAAGGATGCAACGAGGACGTTGCATTCCTAAGTGGGGGTGAATGTAATACCCCATATCAAGATGGGAATGTGAAGAGCTCAAAAGGATTGATAGTACTACTCATACTAACAAGGTGCATCTTCTTTTCGGGAGCTCATCACCTAGAATTCCAAAGTTAAGCGTGCTTGACCTGGAGCAATTCTAGGATGGGTGACCCCCCAAGGAAGTTTTCCTTGGGCGCGCACGAGTGAGGACAAAGTGCGCGGGAAAGACTTGTGTTGGTTTGTGGGGCCAGTCTACAATCCTATGAGCGGACACTTACGGCCAGGGTGGGGGCTGGGGTGTTACATGGGTGAGGAGAATAATTTACCTTCTTATAAAAGTAAAGATGATCTCTTCACCATAGTTGTTAAGGCGTCGCCTAGGCGCTAAGGCGTTATGTTTTGCTCGCCTTGGTTGCTCGCCTCGCCCAGAAAACCCTCAGGCGGTCAGACGCTCGCCTAGGCATCGCCTTACCTCGCCTTATGTCGCCTTTCTCGCCTAGACGCCTTGGGTCACTTCAAAATTATGAAAAGCCCAATTTTTTTTAGTGCAGCCTATTTTTTTAGTTCAGCCCATCCTTTTAGTGCAGCCTAGATACTGAATTTGAACCATTTCCAAATGATGATGAGCAAATTGAGGATGACTATGGTGTTGATTTATCTACTGTCCAGGATGAATCTATGGACACACTGACACAGATAATGATATCCATTTGAATGACCTATTCAATGATAATTTTTAGACATGCATGTTTGGTTCATTTAACCAGAGGGATGGAGATGAACTTGTTTTGAATTGTGTTTTTGTTTTGAATTAAATACTTCTTTCTTTTTCAGATTATGTGTGGACTTTTGTTTCATATGTTGTGCCTTATTATTTATAATATTGTGGTATGTTGTGCCGTATATATATACATATATGTATATATATATGTGTGTGTGTGTGTATAAGTCGCCTAGGCGTCCGCCTAGTCGCCTAGGCAGTATGAAGGTATATTGGCGCCTCGCCTCGCCTTACCGCCTTACAAACTATGCTCTTCACTGGAGGAAACCAGGGCAGAGCCACTTCAACCATCATTAAAGCTTTAGGGATTGAGGAGGAGGCCCTAGAAATCAACGATGATGCTAAGGAACAACCTCCAAATATCTACTCTGAAGGTGAAGCAGAACCCAAACTCCTGGACTCATCCTCAGTTCTTCCCCTTTCTGCCAAACTGCATAAGAAGATTAAAAATATGAAACAGACTCATTCATCTCCAGGTTTTGGTATTCTAACAAGGAGCAAGAGCAAAATTTATGGAGTCCAACCCCCCAATCTGTTTCTCTCATGAGCTTCCTTTTCTGGAATATTAGAGGGATTTTGGTATTCTAACAAGGAGCAAGAGCAAAATTTATGGAGTCCAACCCCCCAATCTGTTTCTCTCATGAGCTTCCTTTTCTGGAATATTAGAGGGATAGTCTCTTCACAAGCTAGACTTCTATCCCTTAAAAAAATGCATAATATTTCATTCTTAGCAGTTTTGGAACCCATGGTTGTATATAAGAAGCTAGATAGATTCTCCTTTTACCTTAACTTCAGCAATAGCAAGGTAGCCCTGGACAACAAAGCTTGGATCTTCTGGGACTCCAACTCTCTCCAACTAATTGCCTCCAAGAAAGGTCATCAAGCTGTAACCTGCATGTTCAAACACAAAGATTCAGATTCAAAATTATTCATAACCACTGTATATGGTAAACACAGCTACATTGATAGAAGAAAACTCTGGATGGACATTAGAGATCATTTTGTTAAGGATGATCTTTGGATGGTAGCTGGGGACTTCAATGCCTTTTTAAACCCCTCTGATCACAAAGGACAGTCTACTCCAGAGTATGGAGGAATTTTCTCAATGCATTGATATGGCTAATCTCTCTCCTATCACTCCTGAGAATGACCCTTTTACTTGGGCTGGTAAAAGAGGTAGAGGCAATATTTGGAGAAGATTGGATTGGGTCTTCCTTAACCCAACTTTCTTTCAGCACTTTGATAACATCTCCCTTCATCATCTGAGTAGGACTGGGTCTGATCATTGCCCTCTTCTTATTAATTGTTCTTTCAACAGAGTAACTGGTCCTAAACCCTTCAGATTTATCAATGCCTGGGCCAACCATGTTACTTTCTTGCCTCTTATCTCTAAGTTCTGGGAAGAGAACCCCAATTATGGAGGCATGTTTGGACTACATCAAAAGCTTAAAAAACTCAAAAATATTCTTAAGAGCTGGAACAAAGAGACTTTTGGAAACATCTTCTCCAAACTGACTCAAGCAAAAGACAAATCTATTGAAGCAGAAAAAGAGTTTCTTACAAATCCTTCCCCCTCTAACAGACAGGCCCTTTCCCTGGCTCAAGTTGAACTCCAAAATGCTAGTCTAAATGAGATATCCTTCTGGAAGCAAAAATCTCACCTAAATTGGTTGGAGCTAGGTGATAGAAATTCTAAATTTTATCAATCCTATGTCAAGGGGAGAAGGAAAAAGCTCAGAATAGGAAGAGTTAGAAGAGGTGAAGGTTCTTGGACAGAAGACATGGAGGAAATTCAAAAAGCTGCTGTAGAACACTACTCCAAACTCTTCACTGCTTCCCAGTATTCAACATTTCTGAGATTCTCAGGAACATCCCCCATACAATCTCAGAAGAGGATAATGCTATGTTACAAGCCATTCCAGATATGAAGGAGATTAAAGCAGCAGTTTGGGATCTCAATCCAAACAGTGCTTCTGGTCCGGATGGATACAATGGGGAATTCTTCAGGAAAGCTTGGCACATTATTGGTCATGAGGTCAGTATGGCAACTAAAGAATTTTTTCTTGGCTTGTCTGTTCCCACAGGTTATGGAGCTACTTGGCTTACCCTAATCCCCAAAAAGGAAGATGCAGCTGATTTTGAGGATTACAGGCCAATTTCTCTTTCCAATTTTGTGAGCAAAATCAAATCCAAGATTCTTGCAAACAGGCTACTTAATATCCTTCAAAAAATCATCTCCCCACAACAAATTGCTTTTCAAAAAGGGAAGGATATTGCAGATCATATCCTTTTAGTGGATGAAATGTTTCATGAGTTAAACAGAAAAGTTGAAGGAGGAAATATGATCATTAAGCTGGATTTGTCTAAAGCCTTTGATAGAATGAGCTGGGATTACCTGGAAAACCTTCTAGGGGCTTTTGGTTTCAATGAATACAACCAGAAACTTCTTCTAGCTAACCTGAAGGCAACTAGTTTCTCAGTCCTGATTAATGGTACTCCTTCTGGGTACTTTAAAATGACTAGAGGGGTCAAGCAAGGGGATCCTCTTTCACCCCTGTTGTATATTATTGGACTTGAGGGCTTTAGCAGACTTATCAACTCTTTTCAAAGCTCAGGATAGATCTCTTCTTTCAATGCTGGTAGGGTCTCTACTTTTTCACATCTAGCCTATGCTGATGATCTAGTGCTCTTCACTAATGGGAAAATCAAAAATCTTATCAGGATCTCCAACACCATTCACTGTTTCCTACAAGCTTCAGGACAACAAGTCAATCTTCAGAAGAGCAGATTCCATACTGCCTCTAACTCTACTCCCCAAGAAATTCTCAACAAGGAAAAGGCTCTAAAGATTCAGCATGACAAAGCTCACCTAACCTACCTGGGGATTCCTATAAGCAGAGGGATTCTGAGAAAAGAAGAATGTGCCTAAGTAATCAAGAAATTTGATAATCTGATGTCTTCCTGGTACAACAAAACCCTCAACTTTGCAGGGAGACTCACACTAATCAAATTCACCCTCTCCTCCATTCCATCCTACCTTATGTCTGTGTACAAACTCCCTAAATCAATCTCCTCCTCCATCATGAAAAGGATGTCAAACTTCCTATGGGGCTACAAAAATGGACAACCCAAACACCATTGGGTATCTTGGGATAAGATCTGTACTCCTACAGAATTTGGGGGTTTAGGGATTAATCATCTGGACATCACTCAAAAAGCACATGATATCAAGCTATGGTGGAAGGTGAAACATCACCATAGTCCTTGGACCAATTTTATGAGGCAAAAATATATGAGGGATGGCTCCATTAGGCACAAACTTACAGACTCTCCTACCTGGAGGAGAATAGTAAATATTCATCAAACTGCCTGTGAGAATACAAATTACATTGATGGCATTTATACTTGGAAGCAAGGAGATTTTACCTTTGGGAAGGCTGTTTCTGCTGCAAATAATTGCTACTGTAGGACACTCTTGTTGGGAAAAATATTATAGATTTTGATGATGATGTATTTAGATTGTAATAGGGACTTTAGGTCTTCCCCAATATTCAATGTAATTTTTCTTTTTAGACATATTGTTAAAACCGAGTTCTTGAGATTTCCAATAAAATTGTGATATTTCTTTAAGTGGTTTGATGCTTGAAGACTTAATCATATTCAGTGATATGGAAATTGGATTTCTTGATCGGAAATGTCAGAGACAAGTAAGGATTTCTCAAAGCAGATGAAAATCCTCTAATCCAGAACACTACATGATAACCGGATGTCTCGCTACAACCCGCTAAAGGCTAAGTCATTCAAATCGGAAGACTAGCGTGGATCTCTTTCTCACCCGGAAGCCTGTGGATGACTCTTCCGGATTTGTCAGCAAAGAACCGGATGGCTCAGAAAGACTGGAACTCTCAGAAGCGGACAAGTGAGAAAAAACTTAGAAAATTATCTAAGTCTTGAATGAAGAAAATTCTACCCGTTGGTAAGGAAAAATCAATCTCTTGATTTTCAACGGCTAGATTGAAGATAATTAAGCTGATTCAAGAACAAATGACTTGAAGACAAAGTCTGGACCTCTCAAATTAAAGAGCTCGTCCAGAATTCCTAAACAAGCACTAGAAGACAAACTGAGTAAAGAACTACAGTCTAGAATTCTTGAACAACAGCTAGAAGACGGATTCTATGGAAAAAGGAATCCCTCCTCAAACAATTGGGTATGTCCAAACACCCATTCCAATGAGGAATCCTCAATCACAATCTTAATTCAAAATTGAAGCCAGCAAATGTAACGGATAGTCTATTTTTGATTCAACGGATAGATTATCTAATCCAGCTATAAATAGCAACCTTGGAGGACTGGAGAAAGATGAACAACGAACAACGAGAACAACAATAACAACAAAGCTATCTCATTCACAGTTAGCCTAAAAAGCTTGATAAAGAGAGAACTCTAAACTCCTTATTCAGAAGCAAACTTCTCCTCCTTCCAAAGAGCTATAGTGTAAACACTTGAAGGTTTCCTTGCCTCAAGTACCACACCACATTGAAGGATATAACTTTTAATCAAACTTCTTGATTAAAAGGGGGTACGTCAACTTTCTTACAAGTTGATCTTGCAAGTCCTATTGTTCGGATCTTGCAGTTGTTGAAGAAGCGTGACCTTCGAAGGAACAACAAAGCCAGCACGAGTGCAGTAGCAACATTGGCCTTGCAAAGATATACCGTGCAGAAATTCACACAAGTGTAATTGTTGGTTCATTATTCAACAACCAACTACATAGTGGATTTTGAAGACGTAGAAGGATTACCCCACCTTCGAACCTCATTAAAGTTTGCGTGTCTCTCTTTTATCTTTACTCTTACTTGCAATTATATTAACTGTGAAAACTAACCCATCCATATTGATTACTGCTCACTTTATCCACCGAATTCCGTACACAATCTAAAGTTCATAAGAAATCTAGATTAACACTCATTTTCAAGCTTTCAAAAGAAACGAAAAAGTTTTTAAATTTGTAACAAAGTCTATTCACCCCCCCCCCCTCCCCTCTAGACTTTGTATCTCACCACTTTGGGACCACTAATTGGTATCAGAGCAGTACTTCTCACTATCTACATTTAGATTAACAAGAAGCGATCATAATGGTGAACAATATGGATCACAGTTTGCCCAAGTTTTTTCTTCTAGGTTATGATGATTGGAAGATCATGAGGGAAGCACATCTTTACGCCCTACAAATGGACCCTTGAAAATCCAAATGGAGAATCCTGAGAGGAATCCAGCTACTCCAGATGTAGTCCAGTACATTCCAAAGCCCAAGGAAAAATGGGATGATAGAGATTGCAAAAAGCACAATATGGACAACGTCGCCAAAGCAGCCATTTTCAAGACACTTGATCCCATCACCTTCTCCAAGATCAAGCATCTCAAGACTGCCATGGAGATATGGAAAGGTCTTGGGAAGCTATGTGAAGGATCAGAGGATCTGAGAAAGCAGAAGATAGAGGTCCTACTTGAGAAGTTCAAAAGCTTCAAAATGCTTCCCGGAGAATCATTTGATATGTTTGATGAAAGATTCCACAAAATCTTAAATGATCTTGCATAACTTAACCACGTTCTCTCTCCCAAAGAAAAGAATATAAGGTTACTGAGGTCTCTTCCAACTGAGTGGTACACCAAGGCCACAGCCATGGAAGAAGGAAGAAATCTGGAGAACTACACTATCCAAGGTCTCCTTGATGAGCTCAGAACCTATGAGCATGAGCTGAAGAAGAAGAAGGAAGAACAAGTCACTCCCTTCCCCACAGCATTGATGACAACTTCCAGAGTCCCACCAAGCGAAGGGACATGCACAAGAAACAATGACACACCTTCCTCCAGCCAGCCATCAAGCTCAAAAATGGAGAACTACGATGAGGAGTTTGCCATGATGGTCAAACAATTCCGGAAGTTCAAAAAGTTCTTCAAGAAGGCTGACTCACTCAAAAGGCCATCCAAGGGAAAGCCACAGGTAAGTGACTCCCCTCCTGAATCCAATTTGTGTTATAATTGCAGGAAACCTGGTCATTGGAAGTCAGCATGCCCGTACCCAAAAGTGGAGAAGTACGGAGAAAGAGAAAGGAACGAGAAGAAAAAGAAAGCAATGGTTGCTGCTGAAAGTGACGAGTCATCCAGCTCAAGCTCAGATGAAGAAGCACTCGTCTGCATGGAGCGCAGAGCTGAGAAGTCCAACCATGAAGATCGGTGGACTATGTCAGAAGATGACACCATCTGCATAATGGCCAAAGATGATGCTGATCAAGAGGTAACTTCACAAACCTCCTGCTCATCTTCTTATGAAAGCATACCAACTTCTGAAAATCTTTTTGACAAGTTCAAAAAGATGATGAAAGATTTTGGGGAAATAAATCTCAAACACTCATCCCTAACAGAGGAGAACAAGCTGTTGAGTGATGAGAATTTCAAGTTGACTGAAGGTCGGAAAAGTCAACTAAATGAGATCACTCAACTTAAAGCTGAAAATGAATCTCTCTCTGAAAAGGTGAAATCCCTTAACCAGGAGCTAGGGATACTTAAGTCCAAAGAAGCAGTGGATAAGCTTCTTGAAGCGACCAAACAAAAGGGTCGTGAAGGACTTGGGTTTGACCCCTCCAGTTCCAAAAGAAAAGGGAGAACAACTTTCATCCCTCCTAAACCTACTGCCAAACCCAATAAGCAGAAAGGGAAGGAAAAGGAGAAACCAACAGAAGTTCCCACAAAGGTAGTCCCTCCTAAGAATTATAGGAAGCTGGACAGACCTCAAAAAGAAAACAACGTCAGGAGAAAACCTTATAACCCCCACTATACACGAGGCTATACTCACTATGGGGTAGATAGGAGTTTTCCGAGAAATACAGAGTGGAGAACTATGCCAAGATATAGTCATCCTCCACCTCAAAAACTATTTGTTCCACCTAAGTATGCCTACAACCGTTACAGGTCACACTATGCACAACCTAGACAAAACTATAGGTCTTATCAACCTAAGTTTGCTAAGGGGAACATGATATAGCACCTCCTGCACGTAGGAGGTTTTATGCCTACAACTATGATTACAATCCCAACAAGTTTAGAGCTGCAAGGAAAATTCCCTGCAACTTCAAACTTGATGTAGGGACACACACCATTAACTATTCTGGACCCAAACTGAATTGGGTACCAAAATCTTCCTCTTCCTGATGCAGAAAGCCGCTAAGTACCTAGGTGTCTGGTACTTAGACAATGGATGTTCAAGACACATGACGGGTGATGCGAGTCTTTTGAGCAATCTAATTCCCTATGATGGTCCAAGAGTTACTTTTGGAGGAAGCAATGATTTTGGCCTTACCAAAGGGCTAGGAAATCTGGTGTAGAAGGGACTAACCATCCAAGCTGTATCTTATGTAGAAGGTCTCAACTATAACCTTCTTAGCATAAGTCAGTTTTGTGATAAAGGTTATTCTTTGGAATTCTGCAAGGACGTGGCATCCCTCAAGAACATCTCCACAAATGAAGTTATTCTCACCGGGAAGAGAATCAGAAACATCTATGAAGTGATATGGGACGATGTCAAGGAAGCATGCCTAATCAGAAAACGGTGACACTAACCTTCTATGGCTTTGGCATAAGAGGTTGAGTCATCTCAACTTCAAAACTCTCAACAAGCTATCCAGAGAAGAGTTAGTACAAGGTCTTCCCAAAACTGTATTCAGGAAGGAAATCATTTGTGATGCTTGCCAGAAAGGAAAGCAAGTCAAGTCTACTTCCAAGGCAAAACCGGCACCCTCAACTACAAGGATATTAAGGCTTATTCACATGGACTTATTTGGCCCTGTTACTCCAATAAGTCTAAGTGGAAAGAAATATGTTCTGGTGGTAGTTGATGATTATTCAAGATACACGTGGACAATCTTCCTCAACAGCAAGAATGAAACTCAAGGAAAGCTCACCAACTGCATGAAGCTGATTTAAAATCAAGCAAGTCAGACCATTCAGAAGATCAGATGTGACAAAGGTACAGAATTCCTGAATGAAATCATCATTCATTACTGTGAAGAAAACGGAATTCTTCATCAGACATCAGCAACAAGGACACCACAACAGAATGTAGGAATACAAACTTTACACTCTACTAATTGTTTGACATATCTATATAATAATAGGTCTCTACCAAAATATTATTTTACTTTTAAATTAATTTTTTTAAAAACCGAAAGAATTGAAAAAAACCAAAATTTAAACCGCTAAAAACCGAACCGTATAACGATTGGTTTTCTCTTTTTTTTACAAAATCGAACCGAACCGCACTGCCAAAATGCCTTCCATTCTGTCTTTGGTGTTAGGTAAAAATCGAACCGTTAGAACCGAACCCACCCCTACAGCTTAAGCATAGAGCGCTCCGGCCCTTACGAATGTGTGCCTTGATCCGACTACTACTGGGAGAGAGCATTTTTACCAATTAGTTGAGCTTGATGAATGGAGGACTTTAGCCTTTAGGAACAATGCCTATCTCAAAGAGCGTACGCAAATTTATCATGATAAGTTTATTAAAGTGAATCGTGAATTTAATGTAGGAGATAAGGTATTGTTGTACAATTCTAGACTTAAGCTTTTTCCAGGAAAGCTCAAGTCTTGATGGACAGGTCCTTCCGCGGTCACATAGGTTTTTCCTTATGGTATTATTGAGATTTAAGATCCTCAGCAAGGACGAATCAAGGTTAATGGTCATCAGTTAAAGATTTACGCTGGAGGATACTTTTAGAAGGATACATAAGTTTTTCATTTCTGAGAATTTTGATGTTAAAGTTTGAATTTATTAAGCTAGCAAAATTAAATCTAGCTCTAAACGGGAGGCAACCCGTCATATATTTTACTATTCACACTGCTTTGTAATTTTTTATTCTTCACTTTATTTGTGTTGCTTTGTCTTTGTTTCTGTTTTGGTTTACAGGTGGCTGATGAGGATAACAAGGAGGAGGTTCTCAATGTCACGTTGCCAGCTGCATACGAGATGCGCTTACCATTAGGAGAGCCTCGTAAGCATTTTCGCCCCTAGGAAAAGAAGAGAACTCTTATAGGGCCGCTTTCCCTTGATCAGGCGACCTTAGAGGAGTGGAACCACTAGGAGGAGATTGATGGACTGCTGGAAGACTCTCGTTGGCGTTACTTGCTCACCTTTGCAGAGGTCCAGTCTTGAGTTGACAATCGAGTTTCCACCTTCACGTTCTCACTTACTGGTCGAGCCTTCACCCTTTCCATGGCCGAGTTTGGGCGTCGTCTGGCCATATACACTAAGGAGGAAGCACGCTCACTTGTCTTTGCTGCTCTTCCTTATTCATTGCCTTCAAAGTCCAGTATTGAGCAGTTCTGGTAGTAGCATTCTCAGTCGACGACGCTGTTCAACAAGAACACGGCGCATACCCGCTAGTGGAGGAGCAGTGCCTAGAGGATACTGAGCTTCGTGCTTTTTCATGGTCTCTTCGGCCGTCCGACTAACTCAAATCAGATCGGCATGAAGGACATTTATTTCTTTTAAAGTTTGGTAGAGAGGGTTCATGTGAACCTTGTTGTCTTCATGGCTCACTTTTTCCTTCTTCAGGGGATGAGCCATAGGAAGATTATTCAGGCCAGACCTTTTGTTACTTGCCTTGCACGTTCCCTTCTGCCCGAGATGTCGGCTAATCTGCTGCCCATTGACCTAAGAATTCGTCCTTTGAGCACCACATCTCTCACGAAGATGGGGATTGCGAAGAGGCGTCGAGTAGAAAACACTAACGTGCCGCCACTTGATTTCTTTGACGGGCTTGATACCATCGTTCATTGTCCTCTTCCAGATGCCACTACAAGGACGTTTGGGGGTTCTTCTTCCTCCGTTCAGCCCGGGACATACACAGCTTCATCAGGCTGCGTTGATCCTTCCATCTTTCAGTCCATCTTAGAGGAGATGAGGAAGCTTAACACAAGGATGGACTCTCTGGAGACAGATTTTGCGTCCCACGCAAAGCAATTTAAGAGGATGAATGAGCGTCTGGAGTCAAACACCAAACAACTGCTAGGGCTCGAGATGATGCTTGGTAAGAAGTTTGCACCTACAGCTCCTTCCTCCAGAGTCAGCCACCAGTATTGGAGATGTTTTTAATTTCTGTTGACTTTAAACATTTTTATTTTAACTTGGCTTGTTTATTTTGCTACTCTAATTTATTTATGCAAACTTTGATGGATAATGCTTGCACTTTATTGTTTATTTCAAGTGTGTGCAAGAATTTTAGCCATGTTTCTTGACTCATCACGTGCATTCGGACTACGGGGAGGTAGTCCATTTTAAGTGTGACGAGGTCGAGTTCGAGTATCGGGTATGATTTGTTGGCTTACTTTGGTAACTCTTGATTCAGATTAGGTTGTAGTCATTTTTTTCTTCTTACTCTCTCATTTCCTTGCTAAATTTTTCTTTTATTTACTTAATTAACTTGTTTCTTATTCATTAAGTGATGCACAAGTGGGTTTAGTGGTAGACAAAGTTGGGGAATAATAACTAGTAGTTTGGATTTTTAGAATTTCTCCTCTGTCATCATTTTCTAATAATAACTTGTTATAATAACTATTGAGATTGCGCTTAAGTGACGAACTGGGAATCCTATCTCCGTAAAGCAGCTCTGCTTCTCCCGTGAATCACATAAGGTGAGGGAGCAAGTGTGCAAATGAAATGGGATAAACCCACAATCTTGATAGTTTATTAGCATTATAAGAGAGTGTTCTATCTCCCACACAGCTCTGTCCAAGGAGAATTAATTAATAATTATAAATAACAATATCCTTAGGACATTTATGGGATACTCATGGATTTTATTGAACTAAGTCATGAAGAGAGTGAATTCTCTAAGTTCAAAGGCTATTAGATTTTAATCCTTTAGGTATTGGTTAGAGAATGAAATCTTGTGCATCTCCTTAAGATTTAAGAAACAATTTAGTTTTTTTTAAATAAAAAGACAATAAGTCAAGGAATTGCTGGAAGTAAGAGAAAGATATAAGATTATTAACTTTGTGTTGAATGCTCTTGAGAATTATGAGTTTTGATATCTAATCATGTCATTCCTTTTCTTTGTTGATTTGTTTTGGCTTGAGGGCAAGCAAAGTTTAAGTGTGAGGAGATTGAGAAACTTGTTTTATACATAATTTTATCCTCACATTTAACACATTTTTTATATATAAGAATAATTTTTCATCTTATTAAAGAATATTTCTCAAGTTTGAGTTATATTTTTATGTTTAGAGTAGTAAAATTGAATGAGCCAAGAAAATAAAAAAAAGTTTGATTTCAGCAAGAAATTAGTTATATCTTCCTATTCGAATGGAATTTGAAGTTGGAGCAAGAGGGAAAAGTGTTCAAAATCGAATTTCATGCAACAAGTGTTGAAGGATTCGGAAAGACGGCAAGCGACCAGGCAGGCGGCCGCCTACTGTCGACACGGTTCAAACAGCGATGAGTAGGGCTGTTCATTGGTCCAAAACTGGACCGGAACGAAGACCAAAATAAGATAAATCTTGGACCGAAGACCAGTCCTATTAGTAATCGGTCTTAGACCGAACCGCACTGAAAATGAGTTAGACCGAATTGATTCGGACCGATTGGACTAAAAAAGACCTACCTTGCACTGCCTGCAGTATGTCAGAAACAAGTAATGAAATGGCCAAACTTCATAGTATGCTTACACTAATGAAGTTTTTCCTCGGACCGATAGGAATCCAATTGGAAAACATGGAAGGGAAGCAATTCCCGTAATGACACAAAAATATAAAAAAATTGGTCAACAAATTATCCCCCAATTGAATCTCCCCCAATCATCATCATTAGAAAATAAAATTTGTAGAGAATAAGTTCAGAAAAGTAAAAAACAAGTGTCTTCCCTTTGTTTTGTTTTCGCTTTAGGTGTCTTCAAATTGTTGAGAATCCTATATCGGAGAATTTGTAAATTTGAGTTCTGGGTGTTTCTAGGGTTCTACTTCTTCAAAATCTGAGAACCTACAATTTGATGGGGAACAAAGCTGTCAACCTTACCACAACGCTGTCGCCCTCTAATCGTCGGATGCTGAACCCGAGTAATAATAAAACATACGGAGTATATGGGTTACATATTTACAGAGGTACTACTTTCATTCAATTATTTCAGTCCGGATCGAAATTATTTTGGGTCTGGATCGGACCAGACCGATACCCAAAATCCTAAAATTCTAGGACCGAAGACCGACCCGGAATTCACTAGGTCCGGTTTTGGTCTGGACCGAATGATCCAAATCGGTTAGTTTTTTTGGTCTGGACCTAAACATGAACATCTTTAGCGATGATGACGCATGTGGCTTATCTGTGCTCTGGGGGACAGATTAGGCTCTAGCGGGCCTGGCGGTGCCTGCTTGCCCGCCTGTCCATGTTCCCGAAGCTTCTCTGATCCAGAGTATCTCAAAGTTGGTGGTGGCAGGCTGACTGGCGGCCGCCAGTCTGTTACCTTGTGACGTCTGCCTGGGTATATATAGCCCCCCTCGGTTTTCCCTCTCCATCATCCAAAATTCTTCTTCCTTTTCTCTATTTTAGCACAAGTTTTTCCTCTTGGAGTCTTTAAGCTTTGATTGTAAGAGTTCTCATATTTGTACTCAATTCGTCAAGATTTATAAGCTTTCTTTTGAACTTCTCTCTTATTAATAAAAATTATTTCTTTGTGTAATTTGTTTTGAATTGTTTGTGATTATGACATTTTGTGGCTAAATTTATATTGAGATATTAATTGAATTAAGGTATGGGTTAAAATAGTTAATAAAAATTAAATTAGTGACTTGATTAATTTGATTATTTGTCTAAAATGAGATTAACTAATTAATAGATCTGACCAATTTATTAATTAATCATTGGAGATTATTAGTCTGGCTTGTTAATGAGTTTGGAAAATAATCTAGCCAACCATATTTAGACACATTAATGAGGCCTAGAAATAGGAAAAGTTAATAAATTAAAATCTAATTAATCAAGAAGCTAACTTAATCTAAAATTATTACATATGTCCATATACTTGTTCAATTTATACCCGCTTCTAAATCATTGATTGAATTAATTCTATTAAGACTATAATTCTGTTTGAATCTTGATTGTTCTAAGTTTTTCTAGTTAAATACTCTTTTTAATTAAAATATCAAGTTAATTACTCTTTTTAATAAAAATACGGAGTATTAAGTTAATTGACACAAAAAGTATATGTAAAACTTTTGGGTACAAATTGATTTATCCAAATAATTTAATAAAAGGTCCTCAGTTATAAGTCGTTTTACATATTTAGACTTACATATCAAATATTACTAATTTAGTCCTCAATTATTATATTCATTTCCACGAATGGTCATTTGTTAACATTTGCGTTAAGAACGTGGATAAAATTGAATTGTAAATTCACACTTTTTTCTCTCTTCAATTAAGCTTCCTCCCCCCTTGCACTCCAGTCCCAAACCCAACGCTGAGTTTGAAGCTTTGAACTCAAAATTGAAATCATCACTCTTCTCTCAATTGTTTGTCTAACTAGTGGAACCCAAATTCAAAACTAATATCTTTCATGGATGAGTTTTAGTGCTTATTTCTTTACAAATTCTTGAGACTAATTGATAAAATTCATCCATAAAGCTTATTAGTTTTGATTTTAGGTTCCACCAAGAAGACTAATAATTGAGATATGAATGATCATTTCAATTTTGGATTCAGAGCTTCAAACTTAGCGACGAGTTTGGAAAAGAGTACGAGAGGATGAAGGAAGCTTAATTGAGGAGAAGGAGAAATATGAATATACAATTTTATCCATGTTCTTAATAAAACATTAACAAAGAATCATTCAATGATATAATAATTGGGGACTAAATTAGTAATATTTGATATGTAAGGACTAAATATGTAAAACGACCTATAATTGAGGACTTTTTATGTAATTTACTCAAATATTTAATACGAGTACTATTAATTCACTACTCCGTATCTTTTTTCACCAGACAAACGACTAAAATTTTATTATCCCTGCTTGGATGCAGGAATCTTATAATTATGGTAGCTGTCTCCCCTGATAAACAAACAAATCGAGTACAAACTCAATGACCCGTCATTCAAGCATTCCCATCACAAAAGAGTAAGGAAAAGAGTACAACAATAGTGCATTGTTAGATGAGGACCAAGAAGATATCAAGACCAGTGCATCAATTCCCCGTTGGGCCCCGCATTTAAATGTGCCAATTGATAACCTGAAACTGTATTAACAGTTGTCGCACAAAACTCCATAGTGACCAAGGCAGTTGCCGCCATACTCAATGACCATTTTGCCATTTAGAGCGCGCCTTACAAATGTGGGACGACGTGGAGTAGCCAAAGGATGTCTTAGTGCTAATGCTACCACATGTTATGAAGGGTAGCAAATGATTGAAGTGCAAGACATATCACTATCAACAACCCATAGACCTAAATGCACAAGCTGTTGCTGAATCAGATCTGAACTCACCTCCGATGACCAATACACAAATCTTGCATCATCTCGTATAGACATATGGGTAGCGTTTAAGGAATTGGTATTTAAACTAGAGCTTTTTTCATCAAAGGTGTAGAATTTTACTCTTTTCTGTTCAAACAACTTTTTAACCACATAGACGAAATCTTTCCCAGTTGGAACTGAACTGTTTGATGAGGTTGAAATCACATCATCGCCTAACCCGGTCAAGACATTATCATTCCAAGTTTTCAAGGCAGAAGAGGAACTCTTAACAAGGATTAATTCAAAGTTCTTTCCCACGAAGAAGTCATAAGCTCTGTCAAGTTCAAATAAATTGAGGTAGGAATCATTGTTCAGGGGAAGCCGGTTGACATCTGTCACAATGATACTAAATCCAAGTTCCAAAAATTTTCTAACCACATAGGACTTGATAAAAATTTCCTTACTCAACTCAAGGGTAGAATTGTCAAAAGCTCTTATGTTGTCATAAATTCTGACGGAGTCAATCACAGGGTGCCCTCTTCTTGCAAGATCAAGTAAGAGATCAGATTTGGGGCCCATTAAAATGTAGTTCTGAATATGTTGTCTCTCAAAATGGCAGAGCAAGTTCCTTACAACAGACTCTGGCTCCTGATGTATCCTCACAAGTATAATGTTACTCAGTTTCTGAAGAGAAGGGAGAACGGACCCAAGTTCATTGAAATCCTGTACAATCCTATCAGGAAAAACTCGTTTGAAGCAGAAATCATACCAATTCATGTTATGCAAAGGGTGCAATTCCAAGTGATTGGCATCAATAGAATTCTCACTAACTAAATTAGAATCTGGTCCCGCTGATTTCCCATAGTTTACACCAGCATCACGATGTGAGACACTGAGTGCTCTTTCATGCAAAAGGTTTGTATAGATATTGAAATAGCCACGAGCATGAATGAATTTAATAAACCAAGGAGTCCATATTCTTTCTCCCATCTTTTTGTACCATCCGGTTGTAACCTGCCAACAGTTTATAAAGTGATAATGCCAAACTGCATTGCCATCCACTTGGGATCTGTCTGGATGGAAGGTTTTTGAAGGGTTTGAAGGGAAGGCTTAGGACGGCTTCGTCTATATCTTGATAAATACAGTGTGTTTAAAACTGAATAAAACATTATTGAAATGTTAATATGTTATATGATCTAGTAATAATTTCATTTTTGTTTATGAAATCTCAAATATTTATATCAAGATAGAGACTAAGCCTTTCGGGACCTGTCTCTCCAAACACCTCCAAAATCCTCCCACCAACCAGAGAACGAAGGAATATAGAGGATGCAGCATACATTACCATCCCATCGAGAAAAGGCTTAATGTCCTTGGATTTGTGTGTGTCATACCACAAACGGAACTCTTTCCAAGGTCGTGGAAACAAAAGTTGACCCCATGTTCCAACCAACTGGTACAGAAAAACCCGAGTTCTACTATCTACTTCCATTTTGTTTCCATGCTTACCTGTTGGTCATAACTAATTAATACCAATGATAAAAGTATAACACTATAAGCACATATTACATGTAATGACAGTAAGACCTGAGAAGTGTTGTTTGAACAAAGTCACAATAGAAAATATGAAATGTATAAGAAGTTGGCATTGTACGTGACACAGGTGGTATCGTCTAAATATGTACAGTTGCACACACAAAATCCATAAAGATTTCATTAACAAAGGTAGAAATATGATCCCAAAAAAACAATGCATTGACATAAGCGATTTATGACGTCTTACAATTTTGTTTAAACAATGGCAAATAAAGAAGAAGATATCTCTGTATATGATGTATAAGCCTAGGACAGCAGAGAGCAACACCACATATACCATACTGGAGCTGCAAATACTTGTTTGTAGTCTGTACAATTGTGCCAGATGTGTGTGCTTTTATCAATAAGACAATAGCACTAATGTTAAAGTGGTCTCCATTTTCAAAGGAAGTAAGAGCATCTCCAATGCGCGGTCCATTTTGATTGGTCTCTTACATATGGGACAACTTTTATCTCACAACTGTTTTACATAGGACATGTTCTCTGATTTATTTAAAAAAACACTAATGCCTCTATATCTCTCTTTTCTCATTTGTTCCCACACCTCTCTTCACTCCTATTAGATTTAAAAAAATTAGATTAAAATAATCATCTCATCTATTCTGAGTATTCTCTCTCCTATGTCACATATGATAAGACTACATGAAATAGACCCATGCAAGAAGAAGCTCCAAAACACTAATGTCCACACTTTCACCATGCAGACTGCTGACACTTGTGTCAGAACGCAAAGAAGTACATATGCTGAAGTGCACTTGAGTTCTATGCGTTATGGTTATGGACTTGAATTATATCTTTGATTTTGTACTCACAAATCACAACACAAGTTCCATATCTTGAATATAGGGTTAATTTGCTAATATTTCAATTATGTGATTTGTATAGTCTGCTTTCAAAGTTGTTTTTGTTTGACTTTGAAATTCCTAAAGTACATGTTAGGCCAATATGTTTTGTTTTTTATATGTGAATATGTTATATACACCCATCCTTGCACAATAATTATTAAATAAAATGCTTTATCTTTTACTTCCAAGAATGACCTTGTGATATGAGATTGGAAATGATCAACGGTGGTGGGTGAGAAATTAAATGACGCTGGTCAGATAAAGTTCGACTTTTACATCTACCAAATAAGCAAAGAGCACTTTATTAAGCAACGGAATAAAAATTGAGACATGAACTTAGAGCATCTGCATTGCTAAGTTCTTCCAGAGAGGTTCTTATTTTTTGTTCTTTTTTGCAGGTTCCACATGTACACATCACTTATTCCTACTTTTTTCAGTTAAAGCAATTTTTAACTTCAACCCAAATTTCATTCATGCACTCCAAAATACACCCGAATTATCATTTTTTACTCCATTTTATGCATACATACATTCAAAAAAAATAAGGGAAGCCTTGGTGCTTCAAGAAGCAAATGTTCCCTACAACGATCTCCACCTCATCACGAGCAATGCATTTATTCTTGGAGCCATCGTTGCTTTACTAAAGATCTTGTGGGAAGCATCAGAGCTGTAAATCCTCTTAGGGGTGAACTTTTTGTTTAAGTTCAAGTATCTATCCATTACCAAAGGAGCTAAATAAGTCATTATTTACAATGTTTTAGTTTCAGATAAATAATGAACTAAAACAAAATGGCACATTGAACTTTCCTTCTTACTTTCTATGTAGTAAATGCAGCAATGCATCAAGAACAACCTTTCTTCTTTATTCTTTGCATGGGTAAGAAGTTCAAATACGGAGTACTAGTTTCCTAAAACTTTAAAATACTCTATATTTTAGCCTCCAGCAAATACTTGATTCCAACAACAACATTACCCCAGTGCCTCCAAGGCGTGCCCATTGCAGGGTAAGGGGGGTCGGATAAATGCTAGACCCCTAATCCTTCCAGATGACCCATGATGATCATCGAAAGTTGCATTGACTAACCGCAACTTCACTATTGAAAGAGTCATTTAGCTTTATTCCACCATACCCCAAAGTTAAAAAAATAGTGAATCTTTGGCTCCATCAGAGATGACGGAAGTGCAGCAAATAACTGTTTCCAAAAACTTTTAAATATTTGTATTTGTTTTTCAAAACCTGGAAAACAAATAACTACTGTTGAACATACTTCCTAGTTTCTAATTTCAAGAAAGTCAAAACAAGATATGAAACAAAAATGCTACCACATGACACATAAAATTATCAAACTACGACTTTTCAGTTTTCAGTTTAGGCTCAAGCCGTTATTGTGTAGGGTACCCGTTTAGGCATTCACAGCTTGTATTTCCCTCAATATATAAACCAGCACATAGCAAATTCAAATATTTTAAATTAAAAAAACAATTGCAAGATGTCTTGTCATGTTTACGAATAGGTGTGATCCCGCAAAGTAATTTGTGCTGAATTAAGAACAAGCTCAAACAGCATAGTACCTGGCACAAACCTCGGGCGCTGCAGGGATGCCCCGAAAATGATCGGACTGAAATTTGAAGCATTGTAGTAATAATGCATAATCAGATTCTTCAGAAAACGAAAGTACAAAGACGAGACCTCAAGATCATCCTCTACCACAAAGGCAAACTCATCGTCTGAGCTAGGCCACCATGCCTCCAGCCACTGTGCCTGCAGACCAGCATTAGAAGTCCTGTAGTGCACCACTTTGCTGCCGAGTTCCCAAGCAAAACCATCAACAAAATCCAGTATCCCCTTCGAAGAATTGAGATTCTGGTCGATATAGAGGGAACCGTTCGGGGGAACTGGGAAGTGATCGATGAAGATGTGGAGGTGGACAGCGTGGCCGTCGTAGTGGGCGGCGGCAAGGGAGCTGAGACAGCGAGTGAGTGAGGAGAGACGGTTGTAAGTGAGAAGTTTGATGATGAATGTGAAGTTCTTGTTGTCGGCGGTGGTGGTGGTGGGCGTCTGGAGGTTGGGTTGGGCGGCGGGGTGAGCGGTGAACGGCGTGGAAGGTGAGAAGGTGAAGAGGAAGATGGCGGAGAGAGAGAGGAGGATGAAAAGTGGGATCAAATTCTTGAAATTTTTCTTCGGTTGCGCCATCTTTAATTAGAAGACAGAACAGATAGAAGATGCCATAGATCTGCAGGGCTTATTCACAGAGATGTAAGTAAAGATCGATTGCTGCCGGCAGCTAGGGGTGGGCAATAGGTTACAGCTAGTCGGAACCGGACAGCCATGTTTGGTCCGAGTTAGGTTAGGGTGGTCTTTTTAAAAATTTAAAATGATTCAGATCGGTCCGGTCCTTATAGATTTTAGGATCGGTCCGGTTTCACATTTTGAAATTTTTTTAAACCCGAATCAGACTGTTTTTTTAAATACCAACATTATTTTAAATATTATTTTTAGTAAATATAAAGATATGCAATATACTGCCTATTTGTCAATATTTTATTTTTATGCCCCTCTCTGTCATTGTTTTATTTTTATTTATTCCTCTTTTTTGTGTTCGATGACTTAAGCTTTTGATACTCCGTAGTTTTTTTAACATAATACTCCCTCCGTCCCTCTGTATTTGTCCACTTTCATTTTTACACACCATCCAATGCACTTCTTTAATCCATTTTATTTTGTAATTTGTATATTAAAAAATTATAAAAATTATATATTAATAATCTATATGTTAAGACAAATCAAACAAGATCACACATGACTATATTTAGGTTTACACATTAAGAGAATTTGATGAGTCAAAGTGCTTAGATGAACAGTTTCAAAAGTCAAAACTGGACGAATACTCCGGGACGGAGGGAGTAATTCTTATCTCTTGGTACCAAACATGTCAAAGTACTTTATGAAATGAGTGAGGAAATACTGGACAGTGGACTTCATATTTTCTCTTGGTACCAAATATGTCAAAGTACTTCATATTAATATTTGTACCCGAGCTCTAGAAACTGGACAGTGGACGTGTGGCGCAATTATTCACACCATTCAATTACCCTTTGAACTTTGAACTTTGAAGATATTATTCTATAATATCTATTTGTTTTAGAGAATGTTAGTATTATGATAGGTTCGGACCCGTTGACTCGTGGAATCGACCCGTTTCAAACAAGCCAGGTTAGGTCCAGTTCCAATTTTAAAATTTTGAAAACCCGTACCGGCCCGGACCGTATTAATAAAAACAAGCCGAGTCCGGTTTATACAAATCTTGGCTCGGACCGGCCGGTGCCCACCCCTAGCTGCAGCTATTCAAAAATCAAAAGCCACTAATCAACTATTTACATCAAACTCAAACCCAAAATACATTATACTTCCTCCATTCAATAATTATCTCCCGTTTATTATCCATATGATCAAATTTTTATATACTTTGTTAGCCTATTTTTGTTGCTTATTTGATAAAATAATACTACGTATAATCATGTCACCCCTATTTTGTAGAAATTTTAATATAGTTTTTTAAATCCTCACCATTTTTCATATAAAATGATTTGAAAATAATTTCAATAAAAACTCGTAACGCGCAATGGAAAGATAATTATTGAAAGGAGAGTAACAATCATCTCCAACTCATTTCACCAAAATGAAAATAACATTTTCGTAGTATATTTTCTAATTACTTTTTATATTTTGAAAATTAAAAAATTATTATAAATTATATAAAGAAAATGAAATATCCCAAACTACAATCCATATTTAGACTCAAAATATTGCAAAACTCATTTTGCAATTCAAAATGGACTACTAGTACTCTATTAGAGGATATACAACTCAAAAACTGAATATATGGAGTACTATTAGAGATGCTCTAAGAGCACTAACAATGTGGCAGACTCTCGCCATGCCTCAACCCATGATGACACACCATCATTTTTCCTTGTTTTCTACACCAGGCCAACACACCTACAATGTTAGGGCACTTACAATGGGAGGGGAGAAAGCCGGGTTGGAGGAGAATGCCGAGCAGCGGCTTCCCATTGCAAGGCGAGAGCCGGACTGATTTTCCAGTAGATCTTTACGGCGGTCGTCCATTGCAACAGTCCACCACACCGCAAGCTGATTTTCTTTTTTTTTTTAATTTTTAACCTTATAAATTCAACACACCTTCCACTTCAATCCATCCACTCTCATCTCTCTCAATTTACCTCTTTTCTTAATTTCTCTTCATCTTTCTCAAATAAAAAAACGATTCTTCCTCCAACAAATGATGAGATCGTGGATATGCTAATTGCGGCAAACCATGAGTATTTGCCTTTCATCCAAGCGGAGATGCAAAATGAAATCACTCGACAAGCTGCGACAACTGCTTCTCCTCCCGTTCCACGTAGACTAATGTACATTCGTCGGGATATGGAGCAGGCTACGACTCGCCGTTTGTTCGAAGATTATTTTTCAAACATTCCGTGTTTTGCTGATTACCAGTTCCATCGGAACCTCCGAATGCGTCATGTATTATTCCTTCGGATAGCGGGCGCACTCGCAGCTTATGGCGTATATTTCCAATAGCTGTCGGACGGTGTAGGGTGTTGGTGATTTTAGTGTCATCGATTTATTTTGTGTAATTGGATTTACTTCGATTGGACAAGAATTTAAATAGACGTTGTCAAACGAGTTCGGAGGCGCGGAGTGCGCGCTCGTTCAACGATATTATAAATTCATTGCGGGGGTCCGGGGGCGGCAGCCCCCGGTTAGCGGGGTCCAAGGGGCAGAGCCCCTGGACAGCTTGGAAATTTTTTATTTTGGACGTTATTTTTTTATGAAAATCCTTATGTTAGATAGAGTATATATATTTCGTATATGTAGTACTGGGCCTTTATATACTAGTCTAGCCCAATGGTCTATTGTCTCTATATATATTGTATTAGACCTTTACGTATTACTTGAGCAATACTATTATTCCATCATGGTTTCAGAGCCAAGGCTACACGAAAAACAAAAACCCAAACCCTAGCCGCTTACGGCTCTCTCTCTCTCGTCACTGCCGCACGGTCGGCAACTCTCTCTTCTTCATCCGAACGCTGTGCCCTCTCCATGGCGAAACATACAGATCCTCTTGATGCTCTTCCCACAGGGTTGAAGCTGTTTATCAAAAATCTTCATTCTCTCACACCAGAAAAGCTTGATGACACCAACTTTCCCTCTTGGATTGCTACAACTTCTGCTAATCTCTCTGCCCACAGATTAATGGGATATGTCGACGGCTCAATACCAGCCCCGCCGACCACCATCACAGTTCCCGCCGACAAAGACACAGCCGCTGCTGTTATTCCGAACCCAGAATTCGAGGTTTGGTCTGTTATTAACGCTCAATTATGTGCCTGCCTGCTTGCGATTGTTACTCCCTCTGTACAACACAATCTTCATGGCTTGGACACCGCTGCTGGTATATGGAATCATCTCCAACTTCGGTATAACTCTCTCTCTCGAACACATATTTTTCAGTTAAAAGAGTAACTCCATAATGTCAAAAAAGGTGATGACTCCATGCAAAAGTATCTTGATTCGGTTGTCAAAATTGTGGCTGCCTTGGATCGCTCAAAAGCGGGTGTTCTTGAGCAAGATGTTGTTCTCGCTGTTCTTCGTGGGTTACCCTCAGACTATGCCTCCATTAAGCAGAACATCCGTACCAATATTGCCACAGTGACTTTTGCTCAGGTCTCGTCACGGCTATTGGCTGAAGAACTCAACCTCCAGATGGAACACAAACTTCAGGTCCATGACTCTTCTTCGTCGGTTGAACCCCACGCAGCCCTCTATGCTCAGTCCGGTTATGGTGGACGTGGCCGTGGTCGAAATCTGCAGCGCGGCCGAGGTACTTATTCTGGCCGTGGGGGACCTCCTGGGCGTGGCAGCTCTACTAGGGGGCGCGGCAGTGGTGCTCCTGGACGTGGTCGCGGTCCCTCCCGTGATTCCATTGTGTGCCAAATTTGCGGGAAATATAATCATGCAGCGTGGGACTGTTGGCATCGATTTGATTCTGAATATAGTGGACCGCCACCACCGCCACCGCGTCAAGCGTTCTATGCGTCCCAATCTGCTCCCTCCAATGATAACTGGTTCTTGGACACTGGTGCTAATACCCATGTCACTTCGGATCTGTCACGTCTCTATTCATATACACCATACATCTGAAGATTGGCATCGTCGTTTGGGACATCCTTCTGTGTCAGTCACCAAACGTTTACTTTCATTTCTAGGTTTTTCATTATCTGATGTATCTCATTGTCACTCTTGTTCTGTTTCAAAGTCACATAAATTACCTTTTTCTTTATCTTATACTGCTGCAACTAAGCCTTTTCAATTAGTGCACTCCGATGTTTGGGGTCCTACTATTGTGTCTTCCTTTAGTGGTTATTATTACTATATCAGTTTTATTGATGACTTTACAAAATTTTCCTGGTTATTTCCTTTAAAACAAAAATCTGATGCGTTTGGTGCCTTCCAAAGTTTTCAGTTCATGGTTCAAAATCAATTTGGCTCCACTATAAAATTATTTCGTACTGATAATGGCCGTGAATATGTTAACAACAAATTTGGAATGTTCTTACAACGACTTGGAATTTTACATCAAAAAACGTGTCCTTATATCCCTGAACAAAATGGGGTTGCGGAACGCAAACACCGTCATCTCATTGAAACTGTTATCACTCTTCTTCATACAGCTAACTTACCTGTAATTCTTTGGACTGAGGCGCTAGCCACAGCTAAATTTTAATTAATCGCTTACCAAAAAAATCTCTTGGCAACATCTCACCTTTTGAGAAACTATATGGTGAAGCACCTGATTACTCTTATTTGCGTGTGTTTGGGTGTCTTGCCTATCCTCACCTTAGGTATGAGGTTGATCACAAACTTCAGCCTCGCTCCAAGGCATGTATTTTTCTGGGTTATGAGCCTCTTACAAAAGGTTATCGTTGTCTAGATCCCGACACTCACAAGGTCTACGTCACACGTCATGTTCGTTTTCATGAGTCTCAGTTTCCCTACAAGGATCGCCTTCCATCCTCTGTGTCATCGGCTTCCACCTCTTCCCAGTCCTCCACCTTCTTCGGCGTTCTTCCTCTGTTCCCCAATTTTCCAATTGTCCAACAAAGTCCTGCTCATGTCCCCCTGCAATCTCACCCAATCTCAAACACCTCACCAACTCACCCTCAACCAACAACTCCTGCTACTATACCTGAGCTGCCGTCAACCTTGCCCAGCACCTCCCAGCCGATTACCACTGCCCAGCCAATTCACACCTCCCAGCCGACCAACATCTCCCAACCGTCACACCTGATTTCCCAAATTGACCCTTCCCGTGAATCTGCCACCGAAGCATCCCCAACAACCCATACCCGAATACCCCCAGCCCCAAGTCACCCGATGACCACTCGTTCCAAGAGTGGCATCTTTAAACCAAACATCTATTCCACGACTATACCCTTTGATGAACCACCCCAAACCGAACCCACCTCCTATAAGCATGCCTCACAGAACAAATATTGGTGTCAGGCTATGGATGATGAATTTGAGGCGTTACAGAGATAGGGTACTTGGGTATTGGTTCCACCTCCTCCGGATCGGTTCCCCATTGGATGTAAGTGGGTTTATCGCATAAAACGTAACTCTGATGGTTCTGTGTCTCGTTACAAAGCTCGTCTTGTTGCAAAAGGCTATGATCAGGAATATGATTTGGATTACTCTCAGACGTTCAGTCCTGTGGTCAAGCAACAAACAATCCGTGTTGTCTTATCTATTGCTATGCATCACAGGTGGCCTCTTCATCAGCTTGATGTTTCTAATGCGTTTTTACATGGTGAGCTGAAGGACGAAATCTATATGACACAACCTCCCGGATACATTGATCAGCGTTACCCTCATCATGTTTGCAAGTTACAGAAGTCTCTCTATGGCTTAAAGCAGGCTCCCCGGGAATGGTATCTTCGCCTCTCTTCTTTTCTAACGGCTCAGGGTTTTACAGTCACCACTCATGATACCAGTCTTTTTATTAAGCATTCTCCGCAGGGCACTCTTATTCTCTTGCTGTATGTTGATGATATTGTTATCACTGGCTCCTCCTCTACTCTTATCCAGAACATTATTCAGAGTATGCATCACGAGTTTCAGATGAAAGATCTTGGTCCTCTTAAATATTTTCTGGGCTTGGAGGTTCAGCGCACACAGGATCAGCTTCTTCTTCATCAGACAAAGTATGCTGGTAAACTCATCCATCGGGCCGGTGTAGACACGGCTACCGTTGCCCCCACGCCGATCAGCACCAGCACCTCCACCAACGGGGCCGACATTCCGTTTGCTAACCCCCGGCTCTTCCGTAGTCTTGTTGGTGGTCTCCAATATCTCACAGTTACTCGCCCGGATATTCAGTTTGCGGTTAACTATGTCGCTCAAAAAATGCACAATCCTACGGAGCAGGATTTTCACACATTGAAGCGTATTCTCCGTTATGTTAAAGGGACTATCACCCATGGTCTTATTTTTTGCAGGGGGGATATGCACCTTCGTGGTTACTCAGACTCTGATTGGGCTAATGACCCAGTGGATAGTCGCTCGACGACGGGCTATCTTATCTATCTTGGTAATAATCTTGTATCTTGGAGCACAGAAAAACAAACGAGGGTGTCCAAATCTTCTACAGAAGCTGAGTACAGAGCTCTTTCTGCAGCGGCATCAGAGGTTATGTGGCTCACATATATTCTGACGGACTTGCATGTCACCACACCACCACTTGTTCTTCTCTGTGATAATCAGTCTGCAATATGTCTCACAAAGAATCCTGTTTTCCACAAGAAGATGAAGCATGTAGGCACTGATTGTCACTTTGTTCGTGAGCAAGTTATTGATGGCTCTATGGTTGCTGAGTACGTTCCTTCAGAACATCAGCTTGCTGATTTTCTTACCAAGCCCCTCACATCACAGCGTTTTCACTTTCTCGTTTCCAAGCTTCCTCTAGCTGCTGCTCGACTCAGCTTGAGGGGGGATGTTAGATAGAGTATTTTTACGAAAAGATGACTATTCATCCTTTATCAAAAATCAATCCAACAAGTGAATGTTGGAGAATCATGATTCATGTCATAAGACTATATGCTTTACCTCTATATATTGATGAAAAGACGATAAATTCTATTGAGATGGTGTTCATGGACGAACATGTAAGTCAATGTTTAATTTATAATTTTGCATATGATTCTTATTAAGTGTATATACGTTATTCATGCCAAGACCAACACTATGACCAAAGAATACACTGTTTTTTAAACATTCTTTTTCTGCGCTTCTTTTTGTTCTAGAAATAAATAGTGTTTGGTGTTTTTTATCCAAAAGGCTTCGAGCACATCATATAGTTGAAACAACTGAGAAATTAAAGTCAACAACTATTTGTTTTTCTCAAACATAAAGACATCATTACCTCTTTTATTTTGGAAAAAAATCAGATCACCTGTGGTTCTATAGTCACTTGAACACTTATTTTGATGCTTTTCACTTAGTAGTTGAGATTTTTGTTGTTAATGGCATTAATATTTGGATTCTGTGTTTCCCTTCAAATATTCATATTTAATTATTTATCTTTGCCTCCTACTTCTTACACTCGCATTGTCCTTAATATACCTACGACGATAAGGAGTCATTGTGGCATCACTTTTTGGAAAAAATCAGATCACCTGCAATTCTATAGTTACTTAAACACTTATTTTGATGCTTTTCATTTAGTAGTCAAGATTTTTGTTATTAATGGCATTAATTTGTGGAATGTGTGTTTCCCTTCAAATATTCATATTTATCTTTGCCTCCTACTTCTACTAGATTCAATCCATATATATATATATATATATATATATATATATATATATATATATATATATATATATATATATATATATATATATATATATATATATATATATATATATTCTTTTATATATATGGGATTGACTCCAGTCAGATGACATCTTTCGGTCAGATAACATGGCTTCAAAATGAGCACCACATTGTTTGACAATGAGCACCACCTTATTTCAGAATGAACACTACACTGTGAATGAGTACTAGGTTGTTTCAGAATGAGTACTACGTTTATAATGAACAAATGTGTGAAAATCAACCCTACAATGTCTTAGAATGAACACTACATGAATTCAAAATGAACCATATGTTGTCGTCTCGCTGACTTGGGATGAATACTACATTGTGATGAACAGTTGTGTGAGAATGAATCCTACATTGTTTCAGAATGAACACTACACTGAGCAGAATGTGAATGAGTACTAGGTTGATTCAGAATGAGTACTACGTTTATAATGAACAAATGTGTGAAAATCAACCCTACAATGTCTTAGAATGAACACTACATGGATTCAAAAAGAACCATATGTTGTCGTCTCGCTGACTTGGAATGAACACTACATTGTGATGAACAGTTGTGTGAGAATGAATCCTACATTGTTTTAGAATGAGCGCTACGTTGATTCAGAATGAGCCATACGTTGGCATCTGACCGAAAGTGTCATCTGACTGAAACATGTCATCTGACTGGAGTCAATCCCTATATATATATATATATATGTGTGTGTGTGTGTGTGTGTGTGTGTGTGTGTGTATATATATATATATTGGTCTTAGTGAGAATGCGATCATATGAGAGAAATGAGAATGAATCTGGTTCATTAGATTGTGAGATATAAGGGTTAGGATTGCATCAAAATTAGATACACCAAAATGGTTTGAAAATGCATCACGTCGAAATGCACCAAAATTCTTTGAAAATGCACTATCTCAAAATATGAGCGCATGATGTAATCTGAGCCACACGATGCATCAGATCCAACGGCTAGATTTTATTCTCATTTCTCTCCACAAGGTGCATTCTCATGGGAACCGGCCCCTATATATATATATATATATATATATATATATATATATATATATATATATATATATATATATATATATATATATATATATATATATATATATATATATATATATATACATATATTTAAAAGTTTATTTAAATAAGAGAAAGGTACATGGGGGGCCAACCCGACAACAGGCCAAATGGGAATCCAAACCAAATAAAGAAGAACAAGAAGAAGCTGCCAAACAAGGAGCAGCTGACAAGGAAATATAATAAAGAGGAGCTGGATATGAAAACGCAGGACCTACTGCATCCATATCAATAACCCAACTGCATCCATTGATGGGTCTCCTGCAGTTCATCTTCCCAAGGATCACAATCACGTTTACCATCCATTTTTCCATCCATAAGAGAAAATTACAAAAGTTGAAAACCAAGATGTCTATGTTCTGCCCTGCAAGTACAGATGAAGAAGTATGCTGCTCCAATCCTAAAACCCAGTCTCCAAACCAGAACCCACTCTAAAATAAAAGACCTAATCTTCAACTAAACCTTGAAAACCCATTTCTTTGAGCCCTTGGAGTGGACGAAGATTAACACATCTCCATTTGGCCCTCCGTTGAGATTCTTAAGACAGCAAGCATTAAATGAATTTAAATCAATCCTGGAAGCATTAAAAAATAAGATTAAGCGTTAACGAGTTGTAGCTTGTGCCTCTTCAACCTGTTCCCCTGTTAGAAACTCCGCCACAAGGCTTTCATCAGCTTTGGAACAAGAAATGAACGCTGGGTATTTAGAATCTTCAAATTGAAGAAGGGTCACTTTTTCCATGCTTTTCACCGTCTCCCGTGTTGCTCTTAGAGTCTTACCTGACATGTTTTGAAGAAGTGCCATTTTCAGTTTATCCAATAGTGTTGTCCTAGCCAAAGCCTCAAGAACCTGTCTTTCCACTGCCCTGAAGATTGTTTCCAAATAGGCATCGAAAGCTGGTTGAAATAATATTTGGATCTTCTTTTCTTCATCTTCATCAAGTTCCTTATTCTCAACTGACCCATCATTTAACCCATTTTCCGTGAGGCTATGCATTATAGAACCATGTGTAACCTCTTGTTCCAGTAGCTTTGAGGATATGGAAGTAAACCTCAATTGTTCTTCCTCTACACTCTCCACCCGAAGTATCTGTTCTGACAGGTCTAGAGAAGCTGAAGCTTCTGCTCTCCAGGGAGAAACGAGTTTCTTTCCAGCAGAAACAACCTCTTCTTGAGGTTTTAAGGCCTCATTCAGTGCTTTTACAAAAAGCCTTATTCCTTCTGATTTCCTTCCTACTGGGATGCAAATAGTAGACATCTCCCTTTCGGTACCTGCACTGATTCTAACAAAGCATCCAAATTGGTTTGAATCCCAGTGGGATTTAGCAGTTACAGTCCCTTCAAATTTTGTAATCACCCATCCCTCTCTAGCCAACGGTGGGTGGCTTAGGGATTCCGAAATCCAATGAGCAATAGATCGCGAGATAGAAAGAAATCTAGACATACCATTCTTGGATTCAGAAACTAAAAGCGTTTCTAAGACCTGGAACTTGAATAACTTGCTCTCAACCGATATTGAGACGCTGGATTCGCTTTTAAATGGCCCTTGGTAACGATATGGTCTATCTCCAACCTCGTATCTGGACCGCCATCTTGTTCGGATGTTAGTTGAATCATCACACCATCCCTGCATTTGTGTTCTTCTCCCTTGGAAATTCCAATTCTGATGAGGCGTTTTCTGGTACCCATCGCCTCTGAAATGTTCGGCGTGGTCAGCGTAGCACCGCCGGTGGTATCTCCCCCTTCTCTCTAGAAACCCCATCTAATCCTGATATATATATATATATATATATATATATATATATATATATATATATATATATATATATATATATATATATAGAGGTTCTGGTGAGAATGACATCTTAGGAAAGAAATAAGAATGAATATCCACTGTGTCATATCACGTGCGTCTACTTTCGCTGAATCTTTAGGGGTATTTTGGGATTTCAAGACCTCACCGATCTCATTATATTCTCTTTTCCCATCTATTTCCGGAATCTGCTCCTAATTTTACTGATATACTCCATTCTCATCTCTTTGGAAAATATGTGTTCTATCTTCCTTCTCACAATCATTCCAGGTTCGTTCTCTCTCTCTTTCTCTCTCTCTCTCTTTCTCATTTTCATTGATGAATTTCACAAGATTTGTGAAATATCATGCTTCAATTTCTTGTTTTGCTCTCAAGATGTTTTTTATTCAACATCACCCAGATTTTCATTTACTTTTGGTATGAATACCTTAATTTATTTATTTTTTTTACTTTACAATTTCTGAGTAGAGATGACTGTTTTCACCTTGAATTTTTTGTTCTAATTTTTTTCAATTCTTTGGGATAATTGTTCATCATTATTTTATCTCTTTGTTAGATATTGTTTTTAAATTGGATATTCTATGTTGCTTTGTAATAGCAACTGATTTGAAACATTGAGATGGTGGCTCAAAAAATTAGTGTTGAATCATTTGAGTTTATGTTTGCAAGCCACATGTTTGATAAAATGTCCCAAAAACATATTTGGTGCAATCCACTTCTAGCCTTCTAATTTGAGTCAATATCATTTTTGTCTTTACTTCCAGTAATTAGATTTTTTTCTGTGCAATCTTATTCTAGCTTCTAATATCAGTGATGCTAAAGTTTTTTCATTTAGTATTTTTGCACAGTGGTGCATTTTGTTTATATAGTAGTGCATCCTGCAGATCTAAAGACTACATTTTAAATTCTTGCACAATATCACCTTAGTTGTGTACAAGCTCAATTTTATGCAAATAAAAAACTTGAAGATAAATATCATTTTGTATGCACAAAAAATAAAATGGTGCAAGAAACACATCTCCTAACACAAATATGACAAATTTTAATCTTGTGCATATTGAATTTTCCGAAAACATTGATTCATTTAAAATGTTCTATGCACTAGCATTGACACTAAAAAACATGAGGCATGTTTTACCAATTGACCCTTGTTTTTCATAACAACAATCTGATGTCATAAAGTATTTTTTTGATTATTTTATGTCTTAGATGCACTCTGAACTCTGAATTTTAATATGTGTATGAGTGTATCAGTTCATGAACATGATTTCTTTGTCATCTTTAGCTTCTACGTAGTAAATGATAATAAGAAGCAATTTGTTAAATCTTTCATTTTGCCTAGATGAGTCTTAGCATATGAATTTAAATTTGTTCTTATCTAATGATGGTGTGGTTTAATATTAAAATATCTAATTCTCACTTTATGTCAAATATGCATTATGAATTCCTTAATATGCATTAATTATTTTTTAATAGATATAAATTCAGGTTCGAGAGTAATTGATGAAATGGATTTTTTAGTTTCTGTCCAATCTTTACTTAAATGAATATCTATACTATTTGTTAAATTTTTGGACATTCACCTCATTCATGGCCCTTTTCTTCATCTGTTATGTACAAAATATATCCTCTCCTTCATTCTTTCCATTCCCTAAATATATTTTACGCGTTGTGTCCAAAATAAACACTTGGGACTCTTTAATAAGCATCTACTAATTAATATGCACTTTATTGTTTTGGCATTTTTCTTGCTTTAATGTATAGATAGTCTAGTAGAATGAGGTTTGTTGTTATTCATTGGAATTTTTAATCAATTGGTGCATTTTTCCAAAGCCGGCGACATAGTTCTCTCGAACAAATAGTCATAGCCTTACCATGCACGACAAAGAATTCAAGGTGCATTGTAACATGTTTTGCATTGTTAAAATTTGATCAACAAAGTGAGCATATAAGCTATGCATTATTCAAATAGAGGAAAAGGTAACATGTTTTGCATTGTTAAAACTTAAATTGCATTATCAGCATTGAAGTAATGCATTTACATGATAAAGTTATGCATTATAAGAATAGAGGAAAAGGTAATTCATTCAATTACTGTGTGTTATCAAATCAAAGTTAAATTTGTCTATTATATGATGAAATTCTTTTGACCTAAATATGATGCATTTGTATATTCTCAAAAGCGATCGTCTAGCAAATGATGAATTATTTAAAATGTTCAATAATACATCTGGATATAGGTTAGAAAAACTTTGAAAGATGCAAATTTTATATATAAATTACATCTTTAGTGGGTCAAAGTACAAGATGGGAGTATCTTTGAACAACATATTGTTGCCTATTAGCTCAAATGGTAGAGCGATATATACTACAGATGTGGGTTCGAATCCTACATAGACAAAATATTTCTCAAATTAGTATTACACTTTTGAATATAAAGGATTCTCATGTTTTTGCGCCACAAATAAAGTCACCCAAGAGTCAATATTCACTTAATCATAAATGGTTAAAATTAAAAATAAATTAAATCTAAAGAAAAATCAGCAAAACACAATGCATATATCAGTCATCACGGCGCATTTGCATTAGATATATAATGTTGAATATTACAATGCATCTCCTTGAGATAACTCCAAAAATACGGGGTATTAAAATCTATAAAGTGCATCAGAAGGAGTAGCATAAAGAGAGTTTGTAACATCTCGAAAACTGCCTAAAAATATATTTTTTTGCTTAAATAATGTTGAAAAAATTATTTACAAATACTTGTCATACTAAAAAATGTGAGAAGAAGATAATATCAAAATTTTATATTCAACATTATTGTCGTTGTATAGATCTCAGTGAGAGATTTTTAACTGTATATTATTTGTCAGAGATGACTTATTTGTGAAAAGTTATGTTGAAAATAGAGAGCAGTACATTATAAGAATTAAATAAAATGAACAAAATATTAAGATACCAAAGTGGCTTGTTGTATGACTAACAAATGAAGTACTCCATATAAATTGTTGTTATTCACGCATGTATTATGTATTAGTTCACTGACCATTATGCTCTAATAATTGATCCGTTCCTAATTTTTAAGAGGCTGGTAATTACTTAACAAAATTAAATTCATTGGTGTATTAAATGCATTGTTGAATCTTGGCCATCTGATGCACTCAATCCAACGAATGAATATTATTCTTATTGCTTTCACCAAACACCATTCTCACAGGAACCAAGCCATATATATATATATATATATATATATATATATATATATATATATATATATATATATATATGGGCCGGTTCCCGTGAGAATGCACCTTGTGGAGAGAAATGAGAATAAAATCTAGCCGTCGGATCTAATGTATCGTGCGGCTCAGATTGCATCCTGCGCTCAGATTTCGAGATAGTGCATTTTCGAAGGTTTATGATGCATTTCAACGTGATGCATTTTCGCACCATTTTGGTGCATCTAATTTTGATGAAATCTTGACCCTTAGATCTCACAATCTAAAGCACCAGATTCATTCTCATTTCTCTCCTAAGATTGCATTCTCACCAGAACCAAAATCTATATATATAGAAATGGACTTGCTTATGCCTCGGCCTAAGGAAATTTTTGTGGGCACTTCGGAAGTTGTGGGTGAAAAGGATTGTGGTTTTGTTCAGCCGGTAGCGTACGAGAAAGTTTCATATTATTGTGATTACTGCTGGCGGCAAGGCCATTCTCTGGATAGATGCAAGCTAAAGGATTCCGAACCCCAAAACCCGACGCCCAACCCGCAGCCCAAACCGAAGCCTTACCCGAACCCACTTCAACCCCTCAAGCCCAATAATCCAAATCCCAAACCCCATTTACCTAAGCCCAACCTTCCTATGCCTAAAGATTCCTTACCCATTCCCAAGGCCCAAACTTTTGTTCCTAAAGCCCAAAAACCCATAATCCAAGCCCCTCCCCAAA